GATTTATGGCCAATGCTCCTCGAAACATGGCTCATATATTGTGTAGCCCAGGCTATCAGCACGATAGACAGTTATCTACATCTCTCAGGCCTCTCTTTCGGGGAAACTTATACTTTTGAAAAAAGTATTTCTCTTAGTTCATTGGCAGTCGTAGGTTTAGACTTATACCAGTGAAGCCTATTATTGATGATAGAATTAAGCGTGATAATGCTGTTCAGTTGTTGTTCCGTTTAAGTCTTCTTATATGTAATGTAAAGTAATGTAAGTGTAGGCATTGAAGAAGAAGAACAGATAGATGTTTATTAATTCAGCTGTTCTATATACAATGAAGGAGAGATGTCACAGAGCTTATCCACACCAGATTTCACGCTGTACTGCACCGCTCTCTTGCTTCTAGTTTCTCTGGAGGCCATTTAAATATGCTCGGCTCCATTGTTTCTGAGCACCTTCGGTTCGCAGTGCCAAATTCAGAAGGTTAAAAGAGTTTTCTAATAGCATGCAATGACTTCATAGCTAGGACATTTTCCAGTTAAAAGTTGAGAATAAGTTAATTCAGATGATTCCCCTTATCGTTCAATTCATCAGAAGTTTCTCTGACTTACACTACTTTTACTGTTTTCGCTTGGAAAGGTGTAAAAACTTTTTCTTACTCCGATGTCTTAGAAAATTTATTTTTCGAATAAGCTGTATTGTATATCCGTAGATATGATCGTGACTTAATGTTATTTGTAGACATTTGAGCCGGAAAGTGAAGCATTTTGGCAGCAGTTCTGGTCACCGGAAAACGTCACGTCTGTGCAAGACGTATTTTCGCTAATCCCTTCGTCGGAGATCAGACTTTTGCGCGAGAACTCTCCCAATAATCTCGCTACACTGTGTTGCAAAGCGGTGCGTTGTCTCGTAAATGCGCATGATCATGCCTGTCAATCTGTTGTCGAACAGGAGCAGGGTACTTTGTGGTATTTATCTCTGAAGTTGACTTATATTTATATAGCCTTTTAAGTCATTAACTGCTGTCGTCTGCTCACCAGGCTCTTGCCTCACATC